TTCACGTCTGTCACATGTGCTCAGGGTGAGCCTGCTCTCATCTGTGAAAAGTACAGGGCACCAGTGGCAGACCTGCCAATTCTGGTGTTCAATGGCAAATACCAATTTAGCACTATGGTGTCAGGCAGTGAGCACAAGGCCCACTAGAGGATATTGGGCCCTCAGGCCACCCCCATGAAGTCTGTTTCTGATTGTTTGGAGGTAATTTTTTAGGGCTCTGGCAGTGCTCATCCTGTTCCTCTTTGCACAAAAAAGCAGATACCAGTCCTGCTGATGGGACCATTTACGGCCCTGTCCAGCTCTCCTAGAGTAAATGCCTGTCTCCGGGAATCTTCTCTATGCTCTTGAGACTGTGCTGGGAGACACAGAAAACCTTCTGGCAATGGCACGTATTGATGTGCCATCATGGAGGAGTTGGACTGCCTGTGCAACCTTTGTAGGGTCCAGGTATCGCCTCATGCTACCAGTAGTGACGCTGACCCTAGCCAAATGCAAAACTAGTGAAAAACAGTCAGAAAAGATGAATAGGGAAACAAATGTCAGTGGCCTTCACCTGTGAAACCATTGTTGCATCTCATTGTTGCCCAGCTAGTGCAACTGTTGTTAATTTCATTAACACCAAAGCAGCTGAAACTGATTAACAACCCCCTCTACTACTTAACTGACCAGATTAATATCCCCGGAGTTTAATTGACTCAACGCTATACTCTGATTAAAAAGTGTTCCTTTAATTTTTTTGAGCAGTGTATATTACAATGTTTTGTATAGAATGTACATCTATTATGTAGTGAATTACAGCCAGGCGTTATAATTTTATTACTATTAAAATTTCTTCATTATATCAAGGCTGCATACAATGCCCCATTAAACAAGAATGGCAGTTGCATTATATTGTTTATATTGCTACGTTAACATGGCAAACATTTATGAGTGTTAATAGGCTATGGAAAGCTTGAGCTTGCAAGTAGTGCCCTTACTGCTCAGGAAGGTAGCCCATTTTTACAAATTACAGTGTGAGTTTGTCCTGTAATCATCAGAAACCTCTATAGTTTCCCATGCTGCTTTCACTCCAGGATTCAAAGCATCACATTCCTTAAACAAAAGAAATAATTCAGCATGCTCTTTTGTCTTGTCACTTGTTTCTCAGTGAACAGGCCTGAAGGAATTTGTTTCCTGTCAGAAATAATCCCACGTATTCTCTATGTAAAGATGTCTCTTCTCTTTAGTAGTCGTTGCTGACAGAGAAGGACACAAAATAGAAATTCAGGTATATGCTGTGCTGTTATGATGTTGGCAGAATGGAGTGTATGATAGAGGGATGAAGTGTTGTTCATTTGAGTAGACTCAGTTATAGAATGTCACAATAAAGTATAAGTGGTGCTAAATTCTGCCGGAGCAGGAGTTTTCTAAAGTGAAAGGAGAAGGAGAGGTGCCAGGAGGTGGCAGCTACTGAATCAAAATTTAAGCAACATTACAACTAAAATCCAATTATGTAACATCTGAAGTTGGTGTTTCCAAGTCTGCTGAAATCCAGGCCTGCTTTATTATTATGAAAGCCAGCCCCTGGTGCTGTCTATGAACAGGCAGAATTGATTCACAATTCTTGGATGTCACATTTTCAGCAGGCCAGGCCAGTACCTCCACAGCATATTCCAACAAGCTCCAGTCAGTGGTCCATTCTTGATACCCAGTTGCTTTTTATCATTTCAGTATCAGCCATGGAACCAATATAATCAACAATCATAAGGTTCAGGCACTACCTATAATTGGTGCCAGTAGCCATGTCTGACTGTCACGATCGCGGCATCAGACCCCCAGACCTTCTCACCCAAACTCATGACCGGAGGACTAGCCGATCTAAAACCGCGATGTAACGTGCGTAACAATGCCACACCCAGCTGCACCCTGCACAACGATTTTCCAGCTAACAGACCACAATCGATGTACCGGCAGCCTGGGCGATTGTTACTGGATCAGGTTAATTACGCAATTAACCCTTCACACTGCCACCAACTCCTTTTTGTACAGAGAAAGATGAAACTCGGCAATATCAGCTATAACACTATACCGATTGAAATAATGGACTGCATATCACGGTCATAACACAGGCCTGTTATACAGAGGGTTAAACAAACAGTAGCGTTCTCTTTAGAGGCAGGGATTTGTAAATTGCAATACAGAGCTATAGAAACAGTTCAGCACTTGCAGAAAGAAAGATTTATTACTAAAAGGTCAAACGGGTGCAATAAAAATATTTACAGAAAAAATATGTAACTAAGATATATATATATATATATATATATATATATATATATATATATATATATATACAGAGCATAACAGCACAGCAAAGAGATATCAGAGAGAGGTGAAAGGGTTAAGGTACTTGCGAAAGTCCTGGGTTAGCAGATCCAAGTTTCAGAGCAAAAGGGCACGTATCTCCCCAGGTGGTATTGATGTTAAAAATGGGAGACGTCTTCAACTTCCTTATCTTAGGCCTGACAACCGGTTTTGTAGTCCCCAGCAGGGGGTGGCTCTGCAGTCAAGGACCAATCTCCGCTAGGGCGTGGAGAGATGGGTGGATGCCTCAACTAGAGCAAAAATCTCCCATAACTCATATTTGGCCCATAACTTTTCATCTGCAAAAGTGACATTCGGCCCGCGGGTAGATTATTATGCAGACAAGTCTGAGGATTGATTAGATATGAATTATGAAAGTGTACACTAAACGGTTCACAAGATCTATTTTTCTGCTGTCCTGTGTGTCCGACAAGGCGAGAGTGACCCATCATACTGTTCGCCTGCTCATCGTCCATCTGACGATATGTTCGGTTTTTATGTAAGTCTCTCATATTCCAAGATATGAGACTTAGGGGAAAAATGGTTTTAACCGAGGTTATCTGATTCTGTCACCTGTCACTCATGCTGAGTTAGGTTTTATGAGGTTGGAATCTCTCTCAACTCTGGAGAAAGCTTGCCTTATCTCTTCCGAGGTGTGAAATGGTACAGCTTTCCCAGACAGCTAGGCACCTAGCTCAGAGATGCCTTGGCCTGCCAGTGACCCACAACCAGCACACACACACACACGCTGGCCAAATGTCTCCTCTCAGAGAGAGAGGGGGAGGGAAGAATAAGGGAGAAATGGATACTTTTAACAAAATGGAGTCTGCTTCCTTCACTGTGTGTTGCGCACGTTTGCGACACTGACCATTATGGCTTTAAAAGCACTGTTCAAGAACTTCTTCAAAGTAGCACATTGTATGTTTCCTGTGGGATGGAGGTAGTCTTGTATTTGCTTTCCAATAAGGTGGAAACCCAAAAGTTGTCCCTCTCCTTAATCACCCTAATGCATGGGGCCTTTCTTAGGTATGAGAGCATCATCACTGTGAACAACATTGTTCTCTTACAGCTCTCCCCACCCACATATAATGCTCTAGGTTTGGGACAGGTATTCAGGACAGAAACAGCTGCACATGAGGTTTAAGACATGGGCTAGGCAAGCCACATATGTGAAGTTCCTCAGGTACACAGCAGACAGCAAGTTTGCACCATTACCGCACATGACCTTGCTGGTTTTTGACTGGTACGGAATAAGCCTTATTTTAGCCTGGGCCTGGAGAAATGCAGGTAACTTTTGCCCGGTGTGCCACCTTACCCAGACATACAAGTTGCAGCATTGCATGGCAGTGTTTTGCCTAAAACAGTGTGGACATTGCATAAGCTCTGGGGCACTTGAGGGGACCTGCGGGTCCTAATGTCAAAGAGGACTCAGAGGATGAGGTCAAAACATGAGTGTGTAGATCTCACATAGCTCTTGTAAAAAAATAAGGCAATACAAAAAAAATTGAGTGGCTTCCCAGAGCTGCATCTATCCCTATTACAGGCCCAATAAGATTAACCTAGCGCACAATGGAAGATATATAGCATTGCTGCCCAAGCTTACAGGACCAGGTGTCTGTGGTCACATGCACCCTATTGCCGACAACATAGTCCCACATCAGAGACATATTTCATCTACATGAAGGTAGAGATCTCTGCAAAGCTTGCACTGAGACACTGGGTGAGCTTCTGCAACAGGCAATGGGGAAGAGAAACCAAACAATTCCACCTTGGCGTGTTGAGATGCTAGTCTCACAAATCATTTTGTTGCTAAATCATAGATTAAGATTAAGCCCCATTTGATATGAAAAGCTTTAGGCAGGACAACTTTTGGGGTGTTTTAGTGGTACGCAGCCATGTCAATCTGTTGTGGCTGTCAGACAGAAATGAGTAATTTTGCTGGTGAGAATCATGCTAAAAGTGGAGTCTTACAGATGGCTTTGTCCACCTCCAGTATTTGTTGGACTTATTCAACAAGACAAGGAAAAGAGCAAAGATGAAGAACAGCAATTTAAATCATCCAATTGGACCTCTAAGCAATGAACTCTGTTTATTTAGGAAATTACTTGTATGGCTGCTATAGGTTATGGCATAAATAGATTTGCACATCCCAAATATGCACACCCGTTTCAAATTGCACATTTCATGACTCTCAATTGAGATTAAATAAATGTGCCTTTCCAAAGAGATTCAATGCTTTTATGCTCAGGAGAATTTAGAAAACTGTGTGTGAAATGTCGAAGATGCCATTCAGTGATTCTTGATCTAATCACATATTTCTACAATGCTTCTTTACATTGCCTTGAGTTAAGCTGTAGATTAGTAGGAGCACTTGTCACACAGCAGAAAGGATGACTTCATAAACAGCATTTCAAGTTTTTTAGAGGTGTTTGGCAGAATTGTTTCACTATGGTTGCTCCAGCAGTATAGCTTCTTATTTATGATGATGGCAATGCTCTTCTTTAGGAGCAGGGAGCACTAGGAGCACTCAGCTGCCTGCCATTTTAGTACTCATTTTACTACTATTTAACTTTTATTTGTTTTAATTTCTGTACAGCAATTGCCAGCTGTAAAATTTACAGTTTTGTTCTTATTTTGCAGCACAATATTTTGCAAGCATCATGGTCATCGTTGGTCTTTCCGTAGTTGTAACAGTGCTAGTGCTACAATTTCACCATCATGATCCACAGGCAGGAAAAATGCCAAGATGGGTAAGTGTCTTAGTTTAACCCCATTAAGGTCAGAGCTACAATGCCAATTGCAATTTCTTTCTATTGGGAGATTTAACCACTTGCTCATAATCATCGCATTAGCAACACATCAGTTATAGTGTTCTGCAAATAGGGTGACTGCCATTAATTGTTTGTCTCAGTAGTGAGAGAAATAATATCACCCAAGTAGCCTTAGTTGAATGTACTGAAATAAAATTACATGTTTAGTTTAAGCAGATAACAGATGTACTTTAATCTTCATAATTAGAGGTAATTGAAATCTAAATGCCAAGACCAAATTCAGCTGTGTCAGTGTGCTTCAGTTAAAGGATAGGCTCACCTTTTGGACAAAAATAATAAATGCAAATTTTTTGCAGGTAAAAAAAATGTGTATTTATTATTTTTGTCCAAAGGAGCCTGTAAAGCATTGCATAAGCGATTACTAGATTGCTGATGTCATGCAGGTCTTCTGCAGACCTGTCAGAATATCTGCTTGCCGTACTTGATGTACGGTCAAGCAGATATAGTGATAGGAAGATTTAATGAACTACCACGGTGCTCCACAAAACTACAAGCCCACAGCCGCTAAGGCTGCCAGGACTTGTAGGCACTCATTCACAGAACTCTGTGAATGAGTGATGCGGCCGTGTGGGTGCTCAGTTTTCAAATCTGACAGATAATACGGGGAGAAGTCTCCTCGTACTATCTGTCAAAGGGAGGGCGGTGGCGGGCACAGCTGCGGCTATGGGAACATGCTACATGTTCCTCCCTAAAAAAACGGGTGGAACACATAACATGCTGCAAAGGTGAATTTATCCTTTAACTTGACCATAATTCTGACTAATGGCTAATTAACCTACCTAAAAAATGTTAACATTGCTCTTTAAGAAGATATAAGGTTTATATTTGGTTCACTGTTTTATTAAACATGCCTGCTCAGGCCAATCATACCGGAGAATGCTAATAGTCAGACTGAAGATGTCTTTGGTTACGGTCCCACTAGACTTCAGATAAATGACTTCTGATTTGACTGGCCATAGACAGATAAGTGGACCATTTTGTGTCTATAGTAGCTGTAGACAGCTCGAGCTGACCTTTTTGTAAGGAAAACAATCAACTGAGTAAGATTGTTATAAAAGTTAATACATGTATGAGCGTGAAAAATTAATTAAAACATAAATGATTTCAAAACAATATATTTTCCCTCAAACTAGTGTAATAAATACATTCTTTGCTTTTGTCAGTTTTGTCCTAAATTTCCTGCACTAAAGTGGTTGGACATTAAACACACCAATAAGTCTCTGATCAATCAACAGCAAAGTGGCATGCCCTCTACAAACATGGCTGCGGTAATACTGTATTGCAATACCATAGATTTTATTCCTATAGTGGCCACCAAGACATTGGCTGAAAACTCCAGAAGATTGCTTTTTTCAATCACTTGCTTGAATGCCTATATGACAAGACAATTGCAACCCCCTCAGGCTCATTTGTAGAAAGTTTATTTGCAGCTTTCTCATCAGAACAACAAACGATTGTGCTGTGAACCCTACACTCGATTCCCCTTGTGTGGGCTCCATTTCTGCTGAGTAAACTGAATAATGCACTGTGTGTAATCCTGCCAACAGGGTTAGAGTGAGGAACTCACTGCAAGGTATAATTTTTCTGATGCTTTACTGAGCAAGAAAGCTAAACACCTAAGGCTTGTGGATAGCTAGGACATTCTGTTCGATGGAACATGAAGCAGGTACTGCAGTTTTTAGACTGACATCACATCTCATAAACTCCTTCATGAGGCTTAAAGAAAAAGAAAACATGAGTGAACAGCTAATGATCCCAATAAGATATATGAGGTTGCTTTTTGCGTGAAGAGCAAAATCTGCTATATTTCCTGCGAGCCACTGTTCAGAGTGACTTTTGTACATATATAAAAAAGGCAGGAGAGATTTTACAGTTGCCCAGAGCATTTTGAGATTGGTCATTGACAAATCAAAATGCTCTTCTTTGGCCCTAAGAAGACACAAAAGTTTTTAAATGAATATTAATAAAGAGCTTCATGATGGTCCACCTGTTTTAATTTTGGGCCCCTTCCCAAGAACAAGTGTCTAGATATGGACTTCTGACTCTTCTTTGTCTTCCCTGATTTGCAGTAACCCCAAATCAACCGATTAAAATTCCTCCTTAAAGCAGAGCTTCAGTCTCATCTGAAAAAAATAAAAGTCAGCAGCTACAAAAACTGTAGCTTCTGACTTTTTAAAAAACAGCCACTCCCCTGCCCTACAATCCAGCAGTGTGTTCACACCAGCCAGGTTCACTGGCCGTCCTCTCTCCCTGGTACGGGCATCTTAAGTGTGGGCAACAGGCTGTGGCAGCTTGCAGCTTCACAGCCGGGTACCCACTGTGCATATGCTAGTAGCGCTGCACATTTTGAATGGTCCTGTAGTCTTCTGGAACCTGCCATGTGTCCCAGAAGACTATGGGGAGGGAGGGGGAGAGGACAACTTCCGCTTCTGATTGCCTAGGCAGTCGGAGACGAAGTGGGATTGGGTACCTGTCAAAATCAGGTACATGATCCCCCCTACACTCCCTAAAGGTGCCAACTAGGGACCAGTCCTTAAAGCAAAACTTCCCCTTTTGGGTGGAGCTCCGCTTTAAGTGATTTGACCTCAGTAAGTTAAACAGGTTTGTTTTTTAAAGTATAACTTAAGGCAAAACTTTTCCCTGACGCCAACATGGAAGCACACACATGTGATATGTCTCTGCCCCTATATCCACCCACAGGACCTGTGTATATCTATAAAAGTCTGACTGAGCAGCAACCTGTCCCATTCTCCTTTTTGTCCGGAAGATCTCCACCTGCAAGACCGTGATGTTGCAATAAGTCCCTACCTGCCGACTGAGTCGGAGTCCGCCTGGGTTCATCCTCTCCCAGGCACAGTCCTACATTTTAGGTTGCTAAATGCCCCAACAAGGTGGGGAGCCCCTTCTGGTGGTCTTTTGGGGCTGAGGAGTTCTCTAACCAGACATGTCAGAACCTCATGTGCTGCACCTGAGCTGGCGTTTATTTGCTGGAGTCCATGCTACATGTGTTTCTCTGCACTCTTGAGCAGGATCATGGTGCTGGAGCTAGTGCTGCCTTTTTCTTTTCTCCCACAGGTTAGGGATATCCCTGTTTGTCTTCCTCCCTTGTCTCTGCATTAATTAGATTTTGTCTATTTTCCTTTGTGAGAGTGATTTGAGGGGTTTTCTTTTGTCAGCAGTTTTCCTTTCACTGCTGGCCAGCGTGTGTACACAATCTGGTCCAGGATTTGTGGCTGTTTCCGGTCTCATGGCTGGTTATGGCATGCACACATACACTGTGCAGAGGGCCTCTTGTGGCAACCATCTTTGTTAAGGCATGTTCAGGCTCACGCAGGTGCAAGGTGGGTTTGCACTGGAAACATCTTCTATTTTTCCCTTACTTATGCTGTGGACGAGTGAGGGGGGGAGGGAGATGATTCAGGCACATGTCTATGATCTGTTTGCTTCTTTCAATGTCTTTCATTTTACTTTCTGCGCAGTGCTGACAGCCTTGCTCCAATATGAGCCTTTTGCCACATAATCAAGACCTCCATGTGCTCAGGTAGGGACCATCAGTGTGGTAAGTAAGAAGAAGAGTGCCTTTCAATGAGCGTGGCCTTCATCTTCTGGTACAACCCAGCCCAGTCTTGCTCTTGCTTAGGGGCCAGTTCACACTGCGTTTCAGTTGCTTTTTTTTCTGCATCCAAAATGCACAGAAAGTAGATTACATGGCCTCCCTCCCACTATAACCCCTCCAACTCTCCCCTCCTCTGACCTCGCAACCGCCCTGCCCCCCACCAGACTTAACATCCCGCACACTATAACTTCCCCAACACTCCGCTCCTTCAGCCTTGCCACCACTGAGGAGGTCACCAAGGTCTTCTCAGAAGCCCGCCTCACCACTTGCCCCCTTGACCCTGTCCCCACACAACTCCTCCGGGCACCCTTCCCCTGAATCCTACGCTCCCTCACCCACATCTTCAATCTCTCCCTCTCTACTGGCACATTCCCCTCCCCCCTAAAGCACGCGCACATCACCCCCATACTCAAAAAACCCTCCCTGGACCCCACTGACCTGAAGAACCTTAGACCCATCTCGCTGCTGCCATTCACTTCCAAGCTCCTTGAGCGCTTAGTCTACAATCGCCTAAGCGCCCACCTCACTGACAACAACCTCCTCGATCCACTACAGTCTGGCTTCCATCCCCTACACTCCACCGAAACCGCCCTACTCAAAATCACTAATGACCTGCTAACCGCCAAAGCTAATGGCCACTACTCAGTCCTCTTACTCCTTGACCTCTCCGCGGCCTTCGACACAGTTGACCACCCCCTCCTCCTTGATAAACTACACTTCCTCGGCATCAGAGACTCCGCTCTCTCCTGGCTCTCTTCCTATCTCTCCCAATGCTCCTTCAGCGTTACCTATAATGCTACCACCTCCCCCTCTCTCCCCCTCTCTGTTGGGGTCCCCCAAGGCACTGTCCTCGGGCCCCTTCTCTTCTCCATCTACACCTCCTCCCTCGGCAAACTGATACACTCCCACGGCTTCAACTATCACTTCTACGCCGATCACACGCAAATTTACCTCTCTACCCCTCAACTCACCCCTTCAGTCTCCGCCCGTATCACCCACCTGCTGAACGACATATCAGACTGGATGTCGCTCCACTTCCTCAAAATGAACGTCTCCAAAACCGAGCTGCTAATTTTCCCCCCAGCCCACGCCCCCCCACCCTCTACATCATGACCAACAATGCCACCATCAGTCCCACCCCACAAGCCAAAGTCCTAAGTGTCACTCTAGATTCAAACCTGTCCTTCCAACCCCATGTCCAATCGTTCGCAAGCTCATGCAGGCTCCACCTCCGCAACATCTCCAAAATACGTACATTCCTAACCCCAGACACTACTAAACAACTCGTTCACTCCCTTATTAT